TAAGGAAGCAGATGGTATTCAATGAAATTATCGAAATTTTCAGTCAAGAAAGAGCAGAGGAGAGTTGGTGATCTCTTTAACAAATCACCATTAAGGCGCTAAAGATAGGTTCCTCGAGGAAAGGGAGAAACAAGGGAAAACAAGAGGTTTTCCCTGTTAACCGACCTGTGACGAGATCCTATTCGCGGGCCACCCTTAACAATCCCCGCCCCGTTGCCATTCCTAAAACAAATCACAACTTTACTGTAGTGCTGACACTTTCCTTGGCCTCCTGTCCAAATGGCCATCCAAAAACTTTAGTCTATTTATTTTGCCCTCATCTTTCCCTATGCAACTCAACTAGTATACATAATACAGAAAACTAAGAAATGTTCTTTAATGGCCACATAATGATAAACGTGCTTTAGTTAAATTATGAAACACTTTTTCTTTACACAAATCATCTCAAAATATGGATAATGATCCTTATGATTTTATTAATGAGGTTCAAGATTGAGCATTTGGGCTTTTCCTTAAGCTTTGCTCATGCTGAGCCTCAAGTGGTAAGCCTGACACATCTTTAAATAAACTGACCTTTACTTCCTTTCTCCTGTCCTATGCCAGTTCACCAAGTCCTATCAAAGCACTTGGGTTCTCTTATACATCTCCATATTGAGCCATTGGTGGATGTAGCTATAATTCCACTTTCATGACAATAGACAAAACAATTCCCAAGTACACATGAACTCTGTCTCTTAGCCACTACTTGGTCATAAGCATGTGAGCTTAGATTCTTCAAGATTCATAAAAAATTTGTGACAAAGATTGTAACTACCAAGAATTTCAATCAACTTTCTAGTAGTGTTTAAGGCATGGGAGGCGTACACCTGAAGGTGTGCCTCCAGGCGAGGCACCCCCCTAAATGCCAAGAGGTGCATGCCAGAGGAGTTGTACGCCTCATGTGCCTCGTGAACACCTCATATAAAAAGACAGAAAAAAGAAAAATAAGGAAAGAAAGAAAAAAAAAAGGAAAGGAAAGGAAAGGAAAGGGAAGGGAAAGAAAAAGAAAGAGAAGAAAAAAAAGAGAAAAAGAAAGAAAAGGGAAGAAAAGGGAAGGGAAGGAAAGATAAGGGGAAAGAAAGTGGGTTGGGGGCGGAGCATGCTATGCATCTTTGTTCTTCTTAATATAAAAGTTTTTTATTAAAAATAAAGAAAAATGGGATCCTCCTACCTCTCCTTCCTCCTTTCTCCTCATTCCCCTCCTCTTAAGGAGGCTTACACCTCCCTGTGTTCAGGAGGCTTACACCTCTTCCGTTTTGAACTACACCTCACACCTCCAGGTAGTGGAATATCTCGCGTCACGCTTCCATGTTTTAAAACATTGTTTTCAAGGTAATAAGGGGATGTTGTTTGGTTCTTAAGGTTTCTCTGGCATAATCAAAAGTTCGAGAGCAAGATGCTCTACAAACCTTGCCGACTCACCCATAATGCTGACAAACAAATATCAGTGTTCGGAGAGCAATGAGTATTAAAGGCCCAGTGTATATAAATGAAACCGAGTACAAGAAAGTAGGAAGCAAAAACATGAGTTATTTCAGGAGTGTACATCACTTTTTTCAGGAGTTCGCCTAATCTCTCATTTCAGGCTTAAGGAAACCTTTATCCTTTAGTTTGCTTCCTGCTTTTATAACACTACGCAATGCCAACAGAAAACTCACTAACCAGGTCAACCTCTTATCCGCATTTTAACAAGAAATCCTTTGTGTTGAAAGGCAGTATTGATTCCAGGCCTATGCTATCACCAAAGAAAGACATTGATGTACATCAGAAAGCAGCTTTATCGCTAAGCATCTAGTGCTTGAACAGTCAACTTTTGGTTCAAGGTTATACCATTTAGTCATAAGCACCAGATATACTTTTCAAGTTAAGGTCAACTAGATATTTGGTCGTGTTCAACCAAGAAATTTAAGTATGGGAAGCTTAAGGTATAATTGAATATTAAACTTGGTTCAACCGTGCCTCTTTTTTGTTGAATGGAACTTGAGGTGGTGCTTTTACTTGAATCATGTATTTCTAATGCTGAGTCAAGCTGTAAGCTTCTAAAAATGTTTGTTGAGGTTCCAAACATTGACCAACTATAGTAATAAATTAAGAAAACAAAGATCAATCAACTAAATGAGTACTTTTAAAAGAAATTCACATGTCAAAGCTGAATCTGGTATTCCAAAATCCTTCAGGAGTCAGGAGGAAGTTACCTGTACTGATGCCTTGAAACATCATCATGATGTCGTAGTGAAAATCATGTTTATTGATTTCATTTTCTCTACCTCCATAGTCCGAATGAATATCATAGAACTTCTTGCATTACTTGCATTCAATTTGCTTCAAGCCTTGAAATTGATATGTGTTGCTTTTTGGAGCATGAGCCATAGTTACATCTTGCATTTCATCATCTGAGTCATTAAGAAACCAATCATTTGAATCTGGGACTGTCTCCACAGTAATATCTTGTGTTTCATAATCTGAGCCATCAGGGTTCAGGCTATATGTGTGCGAATTGGGTATTTATCCAATAAGAAATCGGTCATTTGTGCCAGCTAGTAGCTTAGAGGGCATAGAAGTAGAAGAGTCAAGAGTGGTAGTAGTTCAATCATTGTTTTATTTAAATGTCCCATTATCAACTAGCTTTTCTTGAAAACTAGTATCTTTCTTCTTTCTGACCTTGGAAAAACCCAGAGGTTTCTATATACTTCTCTGCAGGACCTATGGAACAGGATAATACAAGTTTCAATTTTTTTTTCTTTCTACTGTCTCTGCAATAGTACTATATAATAGTAAAGATAAATTTCAACTTAACCACAATTTATTGAAAAATATACAATTGTCCTATTTCTGAGGAAGAAAATTTTGTTTGAACAACAGTCAAGAAATTTTATTAATAATATTGGAAAAGATGTTCAGTTTTAAAAACTACCAATTCTTAAATGGAATTAACTTTTATGGCAAAAAACCACTCATATAAGAACTTCCATGTGAAGTACTGCAGTGCATTTTCTGGAAGCTTCTTTATGAATCAAGGATTCATTTTCACCACCCTAAGTGAGAGGAAGCAAGAAGTTTTGATGAATCTGTTTTCTCCTCTACACTGTTGTTGGAGAGCATAGTTTCCATGGTTAGACTAGACTTTCATCAAAGGAAGTTGTCTTGAAACTCCAAAATCTTATCAGAAGTCAACAGATGTTTAATTTTTTCCTCTTTCAATGCATCATTGGCATGTTGAAAAATCTTCTTCCAATAATGTATTTGGAACCTCCTTTAGCTCAACTATTTTTTGTCTTCTCTTTGAGCTTGTTCTGGAGTTGATCAATATTTGCCCCAGGATTTTTTTAATTCAATCTGCTGGAGTAACTTCTTTTGCAATTTCTTCCCCCTACCACTTCTGCAGTCTTTTGTTCAAGTAGCTTTTTCTTCTAGTTCATTAACATTCTTCTCTAGATTTATTAGTGGTCTTAAGATTGGCTAATTGATTAGACTTTTCTGATAGGCCTATTTATTTAGATTATGGCTCAACTTTTTAAAATAGCTTTCCTTGCAATGTTGTTCCCTTGATCATTTCTTCGTACTTCTGTCTGAGCATGTGTAGGAGGTCATCAATGTCATCCTCTAGAACTTTTGTTTGTCCAGAAGCTCTTTTATATTTCCTTCATGCTCTTTCAGTATCTTATTCTTATCCTCTAGTTCTTTTGCTTCCTTCATGTTCATTAACAGATGCTTTTTCTTGCAATTATCCTCTTTCTGTTTCTTCAGCCTTTTTCTGATATCCTCCTGCAGCTCATTAATTTCCTCCTTCACTAGGCTCTCTAATTTGGCAACAAGCAATTACCCTTTAATAGACAGTCTGCATTCATTCACTTCAACTTTCTTGCCATTAACTTCCTCCTTCACTAGCCTTTTGTTATCAATTAATTTCCATTCAAGGGAAGCAATGAACTGCTGGCTTTGTTCAAAGGGCCTGATTATTTTCGGAAAGTTCTTTTTATTTGGTAATAACGGACAGTCTGCATTCGTCCACTGCAACTTTCCTGCCATAAACAAGTCTTCCCGCAAGCTTTTACATCTCAATTGGAATTTTGGAATTTTGGGAAAAGCAGGCTACAAAAAATATATTCCATCCAAGAAATCTTGTCCTTGGCTTATTGAATTTGGCCAAAGACAAGATAAAACAACAATTGAGGAATTGCAGAAATGCATCATCATCATCAGCAGCAGCAGCTGGATCCAACAGGCTTGCCAACCATTTGAAATACCAGCTCATGCCCTTATAAAATTTCTAGATTAACTTTGTATTCGACAAGCTACACATGCAGTCTTGAATGACCATGCTCTGTCTGTAAAATTTCTTTTGATTCTTAGGAATAATAGTCATTTACTTGACCTCAGGATACGAAACCCCAAATGACCTGGAAACCAAGATGGCACATGTGGATGCGTTTGATTTCCACAATCGACATAAACATAGGGAAAGAAAACATGCAATCGATGTGACAGGATTCTATGCCAATTATATAAATTTCGATCAAAATTTGCAATCATCTCAATACGAACCGAAACTACAACATTAGAACCAAAGAAATAGAGTCACCTCTTTTGCAATCGGAAAACCCCAAAAAAAATAGAAAAATATTTTTTTTTATCAATGAAATAGAAAAATAAATCCTACGAGGAAGAAACGCAGAAGTGCAATTCAAACAAAACGAAACAAGGAAAACCCAAGGGAATCAGTTAACAGAAATTAGTACATTGTCATCAGAATTCTGAAGATGAAATAAATCTACCTGAGTAGTGGCTGTATCATATGATATGATTCGACTCTCTCCCTCTCTCGAACGGGTGAATTCAATTAGAGAAAGAACCTTGAGTTGATTGGTTCTGTTCAACCATTTCCCGCTTTATTTGCACGAGTATTTAAAAGTAGGGAAATACTAGCCTCACGTACGTATGGGTTACGAGAGCACGTAGACCATACGCACGTACTGTTAGAATGTTGAATATCATTTTAACGATAGCGCCCCTTCGTAAAATATGTCGGGAAACGGGAAAAAATGATCCGGAAAGTCACCGTCTTTTCCCTCCGGCCGGTCCGTTTGAAAACTAACCGCTTTTCTTCTCTCCCCACCTCACCCACCAGTGAACCAGCTTCTCAGTTCCCGCCAAATTCGATTTTGAAAACCATGTGCATCAATGGTCAACTGAACGAAGCCCTGCTGGAAATGGCCATTCAAGGTGAAGGAGTGAGGTTCGAGGGCTATGATTCTCTACTGAATGAGTGTGTAAATCGACGGGCACTTCGTGAGGGGCAGAGGGTACACGCTCACATGATTAAAACTCGTTATCTTCCGCCCGTGTATCTCAGAACGAGGCTCATAGTTTTGTACACGAAGTGCGACTGCCTTGGCGATGCACGGCATGTGCTTGATGAAATGCATGAGCGGAATGTTGTTTCTTGGACCGCCATGATTTCAGCCTATTCTCAGAGGGGACATACACTTGAAGCTTTGGGTCTTTTTGTGCAGATGTTAAGATCAGGTATTCTTGGGTTTTCATGTATCTGGTTATGTAAAGTTGGTCTCGTTTTGAATTTTGTGCAATGCAGATAACTATTGGACTGAAGACTCTTTTAGCGGTATTCTCATATTTTCATGTGCAAAACAAAATTATGGCAGGTACACCGCCAAATGAATTCACTTTTGCAACAATCCTTACTTGTTGTTCGGGTGCCTGTGGGTTTGACCGTGGCAGGCAAGTTCATTCTCTTATAATCAAAAGCAATTTTGAATCACATATATTTGTAGGGAGTTCGCTTCTTGACATGTACGCCAAAGCAGATAGAATACATGAAGCACGAAGTGTCTTTGAAAGGTTGCCTGAGAGGGATGTGGTTTCTTGCACTGCAATCATTGCTGGCTATGCCCAGCTGGGTCTCGATGAAGAGGCATTAGAACTGTTCTGTCATTTACAAAGAGAAGGAATGAAATCAAATTATGTTACTTATGCCAGTGTTTTAACTGCACTGTCGGGGCTTGCTGCATTGGACCAGGGCAGGCAAGTTCACAACCGGGTACTTCGCTCTGACTTATCCTCCTATGTGGTTCTTCAGAATTCTCTGATTGATATGTACTCAAAATGTGGGAGCCTTTCCTATGCTAGAAAGGTCTTTGATGGGATGCCAGAGAGAACTGTGATCTCATGGAATGCTATGCTCGTGGGGTATGGTAAGCATGGGATTGGGAGAGAGGTGATTGAGCTTTATGAGTTGATGAGAAAAGATAAACAAGTGAAACCCGATAGTGTTACTTTTATGGCCGTTTTGTCAGGTTGTAGCCATGGAGGGTTGGTTACTGAGGGGCTAAACATTTTCAATGAAATGATTACTGATCAAGATGGGATTGAACCAGAGATTGAGCACTATGGTTGTGTTGTCGATCTGCTTGGACGTGCTGGAGAAGTAGAGAAAGCTTTGACCTTTATTGAGCAAATGCCATTCAAACCAACAGCTGCTATTTGGGGTTCACTTTTAGGTGCTTGCAGGGTTCATGCTAATGTTCTTGTTGGAGAATATGTAGCACACCGCCTTTTTGAGATTGAGCCACACAATGCTGGAAACTATGTTATTCTTTCAAATTTATATGCTTCTGCAGGGAGATGGGCAGATGTAACTTATATTAGACAATTGATGACAGAGAAGTCTGTGGCAAAGGAACCAGGCCGGAGCTGGATAAATCTGGGTCAAACAATTCATACTTTTCATGCTAGTGATCGGTCCCATCCCAGAAGGGAAGAGATCTTTGAGAAGGTAAGAGAATTGTCAGCAAAGATTAAGGAGGCTGGGTATGTTCCTGATCTCAGCTGTGTGTTGCATGATGTGGATGAGGAGCAGAAAGAGAAGATACTCCTTGGCCACAGTGAGAAACTAGCATTGGCATTTGGGTTGATTGGTATTCCTCATGGACTACCAATTCGGGTTGTGAAAAACCTCCGTATTTGTGTAGATTGCCACAATTTTGCCAAGTTCTTATCAAAAGCTTATAGGAGAGAAGTATCTCTAAGAGACAGTAATCGTTTCCATCACATTTTAGGAGGAATCTGCTCTTGTGGTGATTACTGGTGAATGATGATTCTGTTATCAATAGTAACCTTGCTGTGACTATGATATGGGATGGGGTAGGGATCTTACTACTTTTAGATCTGAAAGTGGGCTATGGAAGGTGAGACTAATGGGTCCATGTTATATTATTCTGGTTTAAGTCCACAGGTAAAGTATTGATACTGTGCAATGATGAGATTGAGTGGGATCATCTCTCAAATAGGGAAAATGAATAAAAAAGTACCCCTTTTTTCTGTTTGATATTTGTTCATTTATCTTCGGGGTGATCCAAAACAGAAATACTTGCATGCCTTGGTTACTGTGTAGAGCGGAGGTGTAATGTCACAGAAGGAAATACATGCAAAGCTGAAGTATTTAGAAGTTGAAGAGTTTATATTTCCCTTATTCGGTTGTGAAAAGGATATTTCTTGAAGATTCATAAAAAAAAGGATATTTCGTGAAGAATATGGAAATGTAATAAAACAATACACAGTAAAAGGTTTGGCTATGCTTGGAGCCTTGGAGTGACTGAAAACAGATATAATTGTAAACCTTGTTGCATGGACCCAAGGTTACTGGATTACTATGGGAAGTAGTGTGATGTCGAAAGGGAGGATACATAAATATTGGGGTACAGAATACCAGAATTTTTTGAAAGCTGAAGGCATATATGTCTTTTCAGTTTGCATGGGGATTTCCCAAAAATGCCGGAATTATATGAAGACAGAAAAATAGTTTGCTGGGTATATATTTCCTTTGAATGCTGTTTAATTGAAATTCTTGGTGACCGCTTAATTGAAAATTCAAGATTGGGTGAAATTTTCTGGAGAAAGTTCTTGATCCCAAGGAAATGTTGATTGAGCTCCAAGGGAGGCTACACTTCCATATGGATAATTTTGGCTGCATAGCCTGCATGGTTGAGCCTAAGAAATTTGGGATCTTTTAATCGGTCCATCTTTGGACCATTAAGTAACAGATTAACATGTTGAAACTGAGATTACTCTAAGCAATCGTGCAATTTGACCAACCTTGTTGCTGTGGTATGAGGATTGCTCAGGAAATGGTTGGTAATTCTACAACATGGCAACTGCTACAGTATGGCCTGTACCCATGTTGAATTAACAAATGAAATGAAAAACAAGTTCCAACAGCAAATATGACAGAATCATCAGCTTGTCTGTTTTATTTTGTAATTGAAGCCTGGTTGAGTCCATGAATTAGTAACTATATTTTAAAATACTGATTGTGTAAAGAACAGGATTGGTAATTCTGTGGCGGTGGAATCCCTTTTATCCGTAACATTAAATTACATCATTTCCTTTGAACTTTGAGCTTTTGAATGCTCCCATTAATTCAAAGGAATTGCATCAATGAAGGCATGACATCTATGATTCTCATGTTATGGTTTAGGGAGTTCAGATTGGGTATCACATGCGAACCTTACCAATTCAAAGTGAAGCCAAGAATCATGGACTTTACTTGACTCTCACTCTAAAGATGATAGGGTTTCAGTGTGTCCAGTTGTTGCATGTTTCCTACCAAACACTGCCCAATTAAGCCTTAACTGGGATAGTCCTTGATTTGGTGGGCTTCTAATCATCATTAGCCATAGACATATTTCCTGCGTGAGTGTTTTTACATGTAAAAAAGTTCAAGAATTTTCCTTTTAAGTTTGCCTTGGTTCAAGATGAAGAGAACCATGAGGCTCATGTAGTGTTTAAACAAGACAACTAGCAAGGAAAGGAACGCTAACATCTTGGTTAAGACAAGCTGTCATCAATTCACAGAAGGTAACCAGGTTGGAGGCCTCGCTAACTGTTATCAAGAAATCCAGGGATATAACTAGTTCAACGAGGAAAATATTCCAGGGATTAATCTGACTATTTCAAATTTGGATTTCTGAAACTTATCAGTGCAAGGCGCAAAAAAGGCGTAGGGGTCAATTTGCACCTGAGGCGCAAGGCGAGGTGCGTGCCTTTTTGAAGCAAGGCGCAAAAAAAAAAAGTCAGAAAATTAAAAAATATTAAACGTAATATTAATAAAAATATAAACTTAAATTTTAAAATAATGTTTTAAAAAATCTATTATCTAAAATTAAAATACATAAACATAAGATGTAAAGCATATTCAAATGAGAATTTAAAAATAAAATCAAACATATAAAACATTTTCAAACATGTAAAACCTCTATTCTCTTTTTTCACTCAATTGCATTACTTCAAGTAGCTTATGTAATGTAAAACATATTACATTCCTGATTCTACGAACTGCCTTTGTGCCACGCCCCTTGAGGCAAAGGGGTCTAGGGACAAAGCCCTCGGCTCAGCCGCTATGTTCAGAAAAAGCAAAAAAACATCAAATTTTCAAAAGGCAAACGCCTGGGCTGAGGTGCAAGGCGCATCAGGTGCATGCCTAGGAGCACCAAGTATGCGCCTTTTGAAAGGGCTGCGCCTAGGACGTAGGCGAGGCACATACCTTGAAATGCGCCTCGCCTATGCGCCTAGGCATGCCTTTTAAATCACTGAAACATACATGTATTTAATAATTATATCGGATGTGTATTTAACTCTGTCTAACCTGATTAAGATCGAAGTCTGATATATACATTGAATAGAATTTATAATTAAAAAAGTTAATATATATTATATTCAGTATAAATTTATTCTATGTGTTAGTTAAAAAGTGATTGTTTTTGTTAATATTATATCTTTAGTTTTTTCTTTATTCTAAATATAATGTGATGGACTTGTATTAAATCCAAAACCTGATAGGATCTAAATCCAATCCAGTTCTTGTTAAAAGAAATTAAATCAACTCATGGTTTTAAATTATAGTGTAAGTACCCAATTGGGTGTTTTTTTCTAGCAGTAAAATTCATCAAGGAGAAAAACCCACTGCTCATGAAAAGGCAGGCTTAAATAAACAGCAGTAAAATGTCAAAACTTCATCGGCAGCTTTAGACTTTCAAGCTTTTTATTTCACTTGAAATTTTGTACATGTTATTAGAATAATAAAAATCAATACTATAAATACAAAACACTATAAAATACTACAAATATTAATAAAATAACAAACTTTCAAAATGAATCTGCTTTTAAAACCTTGCATAGACATTCCTGCTTATGCATTTTTATACCAATAGATTGAAGCCTGAAAAAGCATGTACTAAGCTTTTAGGGTCTTGTCTTTAAAGAAAAACACCATTTTGTAAGTATCCTAGTCTACCGTGGTTTATTGAGCTGTTAAACAAAAGATTTTAGGCATAGAAAGACATGATCTTCATTTGAAGCTTCTTGATTTTCAGTCATTTTCGGGCTTCCATGAATTTTCTACAATGTCAGTCTTTTCTGACTTCTTGTTTTTCATTGCCAAAAGGAAAAAAAAATATCGTTTTTTGGTCTAGTGGTCTTTGAAAAGCCTAAAAGATCTTCCAAAAAAGATTTGCCAAACAGGTCCCATATCCTATGTTTCTTTGAAAGCATGGAAAATAATGATTTTTCCTCATGAGGCACACAAAGGGAGTGGCTCATAACCCCCCCC